AAAGAAACAAAGAAGCCAGCCAATAAACAACAGTACAGTCTCCCGTCCATGACAGTATAAATGCCCCTGGCCTAATCCTGCAACAAGGCTGTCCCAGAGCAACTGAGCAAGGCTCAGAATGCCCAAACAGAGCTGGTCTAGGTGCAGGTTTGCAGGGGTCAGGAACTTAGGGTGTGTCCAAGACCGTGGGGGCAATTATCAGTCTGCTTGTCTGTTTCTTGAAGAAGAAAGGAAGTAAGAAAAAGGGCGTGGCATCTCGCTATGTGTATGTGTAGCTTCAAACTCCACATTATCCTGCGTCAGCTTCCCTAATGGCCGGGACCATCAGTGCACACCACTGTACTTATCCCACTCAAAATCTCCCTGTGTAGCCTAGGCTAGCCTTAAACTCACACTCTTCTTGTCTTAGCCTCTGTCTTTTTCTCTTAGATGATGTGTGTGGGATGGCAGGGGTAGTTCCCTTGATTTACCAACAGAGCCAGGTACCAGTTGTCCATCAGACTCTAGAGGGAAAGAACTGATGAGGATCTTGGAGAACCAACGGCAGTTAGTGACATGGTCAAACTTCACATGAGAATGTACTGTTCCTAAAGGCAAGGACGTGGTACTGTTTGCAGTGTCTTCATTGGTTCCTGGCACATAGAAAGTCCACAAAAAGGCTGGATGTGGTGGCACACACCTGTAACCCCAGCAATCAGGAGGGAGAGGCAGAATGAGTCCAACTTCAGTGCTAGCCTGGGCTACAGAGTGAGTTCAAAGCCAGCCTGAGTTTTAGTGATACCCTGAATTGGGGACATAGCTCAGTGGTAGTATGCTTACCTAGCATGCACAAGGTCTTGAGTTCAATAGTCAACAACACGTGTGTGAACATGAACACACACACACACACACACACACACACACACACACACACACACACCTCTGTACAGTATGTGCTCAATAAATGAGTCTGTTTTCCACTCCACCAGGCCTTGGGACAGCATCTCAGAGTCAGTGTGGCCTAACAGGACTTTACTAGGCTCCTTTTAGGGAGAATGTCAGCGCAGGTTTCTGTGAAGAATGGCTTGGGGTGCACAAGTCAGACAAGGAAGCAGCAATGGCAGCTGAGGAAAAGCCCCCGAACCTTCATGTTTAATACCCTAAGAGCCAGCTAGCACCTGGGAGATACTGCAAACAGTAATGCGGCAGCAGCAGCGGCAGCTTCCGGACAGTAGGAAGAGTGAGGCAGTGGGCATTGATTCTGCTTCTTCCATGCCTCATCTACACAGCCCGATCAAGGCTCTGGGGGAACTCCTTCAGTGTGCACTGTAAATACCATCTGTCACATCGCCTGCCCAGACGCGGCCTTCCTCCCTGGAAGGAGAATGTTCATTATTATTTATGCAGAGCACACCCTACTTAAGCATGGTGCCACCAAGAGAGGGAAGAAAAGCCTAGAAGAGCCAAGGACTTCAGGGACCTGCCCCTTGGAGAGCAGCTGGTTGGGAGGGCTAGGCTGTCCACCTTTCTGGGATGGAAGGTTAACTCTCAGCTCTCCGGAGTGTAGTCGTTAGGCAAGAGCACAGCCCCAGAGACCAGGAGGCATGCATCTTCAGCTCAGTTCCATTACCAGCATGCCATGTGACTTTGGGAAATCTCTTCACCCGCACCAGCCTCCATTTTCTCATCTGCAAATGCAGAGGTTGTACTAGATGAGCCATGACCTCCCTCCCAGCTCTGAGATCCACTCGCTGTCTCTCTAACCCTCTTCTCTCTCTCTCTCTCTCTCTCTCTCTCTCTCTCTCTCTCTCTCTCTCTCTCTCTCTTTCTCTCTCGCTAGCGCAGAAGCCTGATTATTACCCATCAGCCTTCATTCCCAGACAGGACAGAAAATGCAGCTCAGGATATGATTCCTTAGTGCCTGGTAGCAGGAAAACAGGTCAGTAGAGCTGTGTTCCTGTTCCAGCTCTGTCATTACTTAGCCCTAGGACTCCAGGGAAGGCACAGTTCCTTATCTCATCTTTTGTGGAACAAGAGAGGACCTGGAATTTTTTGCAGAGGACTATATCTATAAAAATAAAAACCAAGTGAAAATACATACGCTTTAACCCTAGCACTTGGGAGGCAGACTTCTGTGTGCATATTTTTAATTTAAATTTAATTATATCATGTCTGAATGTGTGTATGTGTACTACATGCATGCAGTGCCTTTGGAGGCCAATGGAGGGCATCGGATCCCCTGGAACTGCATCTATAACTGCAGTTATAGATGGCTGCCAGGCACCATATGGGATGCTAGAAATCGAACCCAGGTCCTCTGGAAGAGCAGCCAGAACTCTCTACTGCTGAACTATTATCCCAGCCCTTTAATTAATTAATCTATTTATTTTTTATTTGTTTGTTTGTTTATTTATTTGTTTTGAGACATGGTCTCACCATGTAATTCTGGCTAGCCTGGAACCTGCTCTGTAGACCAGGCTGGTCTTGAACTCACAGCCTGTCTTTGTCTTTCAAGTGTTGGTATTAAAAGTGTGTCACCTCACCTCGCACTAATATTTTTTAAAGGTGTGTTTTTATTTACATGTTTGTGTCTGTGTGAATATATGCCACCTTTACACTGGCACCCACAGGTGCTGAAGAAAACACTGAATCCCTGGAGCTGTGGTTACAGGCGGTTGTGAGCTGTCCATCACGGGTGCCAGGAACTAATCTCAGGGTCTCTGGAAAGAGCAGCATCTGTTCTTAGCCACTGAGCCATCTCTCCTGGAGGCTGTATCCCTAAATCCTGTTACCTGCAGATGTCTTTTTCCACCTCAGCTCACCTCCAGGCTCTCAGGTAGCCCAGGTCAGCCCCTATTTCACTATGTAGTCCAGAATGACCTTGAACTTCTGACCCTCCTGGGATTGCCAGCATGCATCACCCCCAGTGGTTTATGTGGTGCTGGGGCTGGAACCTTGGGCCTCACACATATTAGATAGCCATTCTATCAACTGAACGGCATCCCTATCTCTGGCTTCCCCTTCCCAAAGCACTGCTGATAAACATCTTTCCTGACTGTGTATCCAGACACAGAGGGTAGCAAGACGTGGCTTTGCCTTAGAGAGGACAGTGTCAACTGGGAAAGACACTGTCAAAACCTGAAGGTACGGAGATGATCGCAAACTAAGTATGTGGTGGCAAAGGGGCGTCCTCGTAGGTGATTAAAGCTAAATCCTAAAGGATTGACAAGTGGATGGGACTTGAGGTATTCATGGCGGAAGGAACGGTGTGTACTAAGATCCGATGTGAATCTGCATAGGAGCTGCTTGCTGTTGTTAGGGTGATTGTGATGCTATGTGAGTCTAGGCATTGACTGCTTCATCTCTCATCCCCTTTAGGATAATCCAGTGATCACATGGTTGTGAATGATACATGTGAAGGCTACAGTTGATAATTCAGTGTGGCCATCCTGTCTGTGAAGGGCTCCACCAGTGAGAGAATAAATCTTGCCTTTCATCTCTGTTCTCTGAATGCAATCAGTGAAGCAGGCTAGAAGCAGGAGGCTTGCTCAAATGGTGCCAACATGACCCTCAACTTTCCAGCCTTGTATACCATGAAGCCAGGCCAGGGGAGCAAACTGGTTTTGTGTAAAACAGGACCCAGAGGCTGCAGCGGGCAGTTTCTGTTTCCTAGGCATTCACCCCTGTGCGGCAGGAGCATAGAATATGTGATTTGCCCTACAGTGGTGGCAGCCTGCTGTGGCTCCTCAGGGAGCTGGCCAAGTCTTCCACAGAGCTGGAGTTAACCTGTCCCTCCTCCAGGAAGGACATCCTACCTCAAGAATGCATGAGCTGTGCCCAGCTTCCCCATCTGGTAGCTGCAGCTGTTTTGCAGCTCCTGTGCCTGGCTCTGCACACTCCAAAACACACAAGAGCAGTAGAGAAGGGAGATACACGCTTCCGAGAGCTCATTAGCTGTGAGCAGCTCCGTAGGCAGTGAGCTATGTGGTTAACCAGGCTAGGGAAAGCCTGGGAAGCTCCAGTAAACATTCAACTGGCTTGGCTTGCTGCAGCAATTTATATCCAAGAAGGGGGAATTACCTGGAACACCGAAGGAACGAGGGAAGGAGCACATTTGCCAGATGGTTCCCAGTGCACAATGGCATCTGCAGAGGGCCAGTATGCAGGGGGAGGGCCTTTCACCAGAGAGCAAAGACTCCCGCTGAAGGCTCATTCATTATCCCAGGGTTGTTAGGAAGAGTTTGGTGGCTTGGAACACACCCACGCTTGTCCTTGTTTCCCAGAACCTCACTGCTGTGACTGCCTATGCTGAATTTTCAGGACTGGGCTTCTCCATACGCCTCCTGGCTCCGTTGCTTTTGCCACCTGCCACCTGTATCTGCTTTCCTAACTCAAACCAGTAAATCCACCCTCCCCACTGCCATTCGCTCCTTAACCAGCACGGCTTGAGCTCTGATGCTGGGGTTTAGGTGTGTTGCCAGGGCAGGAGATGGGAGCGTGTAAGTGGGTTTACAAATGAGTAGCTGGAAAGCATTTACATGCATGCACCGTGTTAACACAGAACAGTCAAGAGTTGGATTTTGCTCAGATCACACATGTGTCTTCCTTCATTAAACTACAGGATTTGAATAGAGACTTGGTGGGTCTTGACTTTGCTACCTGTTCAGGTAGAGGAGGGTGGGGTGGGTAGGAGTGGGGGGTGGGGTGGGGAGAGAGCCCGGGAGGGGCCGGGAGGAGGACTGTGCCAATACACCCCAAAGCCTTAGTCCTGGAGGAGAGATGATGTGTGGACATCAGCCCAAAGGTATCTCCATGAGTAGTACCCCAGTGATGATGTCATGTTTCTTTCTCTTTTTCCGAGACAGGTTTTCTCTGTGTAGTTTTGGTGCCTGTCCTGGATCTTGCTCTGTAGCCCAGGCTGGCCTCGAACTCACAGAGATCTGCCTGGCTCTGCCTCCTGAGTGCTGGGACTAAAGGCGTGTGCCACCACTGCCTGGCTGATGTCATGTTTCTAATGGTAGGTGGCTTCCCTCTGCCGAAGTCAGCATCACAGCTATGGAGAGGGTTTGTGGAGACCAGTACATGGGCTGTCATGACAAGAACACTCATTAGGATCCCATAATCAGGTATCTGATTATTGTCACTTTTGTGTTGTGGTGTTATTGCAATACCTCCTAAATACCAAGGTGTCTTTACAAAGCCCAATGTTTTCTACATCCTAGGACCACAGCAGTCAGTGTGTCCTATCAGGCTTGGTGAGAAAAAAAATTATTCATCTAAATGTCCACCTGTATCTGGTAAGTGGTCAGTTAGCCTCAATCAATCTGCTTCCTTGGGTTTATTTATTTATTCAGTTTGGTGCTTATTTTGATATAAGGTCTCTTCCTATGGCTCTGGCTGGCCTGGACCTCACTACCGAGACCAGGCTGGCCCTAAACTTGCCGTGATCTTCCTGCCTCTGCCCTCCAACTAATGGGATCATTAAGTGTGAGCTTACACCTGACAGACTTTCTTTTCAGTTTTCAGTGTGTGATTTTTGTGGTACTAGAGACCAAATGCAAGGCCCCACAAAAAGTTGGCAGGAACTCTGAGCTATTCCCCTAGCCTCATGTTTCTTCGGGACTTTTGTTTTTAAGGACAGGGTTTTTCTGTGTAGCCCTGGCTATCCTGGAACTCACTTGCTAGATCAGGCTGGCCATGAACTCAGAGATCTGCCTGCCTCTGCCTCCTAGTGCTGGGATTAAAGGTGTGCGCCACCACCGCCTGGTTTTCTTCTTTGGGATTTGGGATTTAAATGAGGCTATTACCATCAGTCTTGCTAGGATGCAGATAAAAAGGAGAAAGGGGCAGGGTATGGCTCAGGCAGCTCTCAGTGAGCACCAGTCTCCTCCTCCCCAACAGACTTGACACATAGTATCAAAATCAGAAATACATTATTTCAAAGATGAGCATATCTTGGCATCTTGCTTGGATACACTCAAATTCTAAAAAGACCATATATGGCAGTTGGAAAAATCTAACCAGGTAACCGAATTTGCAGTTTATAGCAGGAAGCAGCACCCTGTGGAGAGCTAAAATAGTTTCCACCAGATGACATAGCTGATGTTTTAAAAGGGAATACAAAGAAACCATTTCCCAATACAGTGTCACAGGACTTTGTGTCTGATCTCTTCTATCTCCATCCCTGACACAGGAAGCACCCAGTTGGTGCCTAATAATAAATATGCACTAAATACTGCCTCCTAAGAGGCACTGGTGTAGCAAAGCTGGCTATGAGCCACATGAAGTTCTGGAGCCACAGTGCCCTCTAGTGGAAAGAACAGCCATAGCACTTCACGGGGCCAACAAGTCACCAGGGAGCCAGCCTGGGCAGACTCCTTAACATCTATGCTGGGCAGGCACCAAGGCAGACTTCAGAAAGTAGCAATCAACACACTTTGCAAGAAGTGCTTTCCTAAAGACAGATATTTCAGTCACATTTGTTCTTTAAAATTCATTAGGAATTGCTGGGCAGTTGTGGCTCACACTTTTAGTCCCAGCACTCAGGAGTCAGAGGCAGGTGGATTTCTGAGTTTGAGGACAGCCTGGTCTACTGAGCGAGTTCTAGAGTATCCAGGACTATACAGAGAAACCTGTCTTAAAAAAACAAACAAAAAACCCCTCCCTATTTCAGAGGTACACAATGAAATATTTTCAGTTGAAATGATGTGTTGTCTGGAGCATGTTCCAAATAATTCCAGAGTGTGTGGGAGAACAGATGAAATAAGACTGCCATGTTGATTATCGCTGGAGCTTGGTGATGGACACAGGGGGCCTCATTATACTGTTTGCTCTTGAGTTTTGTTTTTGATTTAGATGTAACTAAAATCAATCTCTGCTAAAAGACGTTCTATCTTGGCTCTCCGTGAAAGGGCACACAGCTCCAGTGAAAGTCAGCTGCTGCTGCTGCTGCTGCTGCTGTTTGCAGGACAAGGCAAATGCTGGGTATCGGCAGCTTCGGCAGGATGGGATGTTATATACATCGCCTTCATCTGGCACACCTGAGAGGTGTGGTCAAATGAGCTGAACGGCTCTGCTTAACAGCTGTGCCACTGGGGAGCGCTTCTGTTCTCTTACTTACCCTGGATAACAGCGTGGGAAGAAGCAGACACTGGTGGACGGAACTTTCAAGGGGCAGCTTTAATGTCTACTCAGACCTGGGGAACCAGCTGTTCCTATGTTCTCTGCACACTCCAGATCACCCTCTCTCTCCAGCAACTACTCCTGACCTATGACCCGACAGAATGTGCTGGCTGACAGAGCCTCGGCAAGCAGAGGTGTGCCAAGCTCCTGCTTCTCTGTAACCTCCGATTCCCTTCCGCCACCGGCTTACATAAGCACAGCTGTATCAGCAGCCTGCCAGCTGCCAGCTCTCCTGGAAGATATTCGGCACTTTCCCTATGCTGGCTAAAAATAAGCCCAGGGCTCTCCTGGGCATTTGCAGGTGGTATGCTCACTCTGCCATGCTGGGCTTTTCTCGGGGTACTGTAATTCAGAAATGTTGGGCTGCTTATACCACATCCATGGCGGGAGGCTCTGCATGTTCCCTAGGGAAAGGCTCACAAGAAAAGTCAACTTTGAGAAGAGCTTTTCTGCCTATCTCTAAAGGTCAAGGTGGCATCTGTAAGTACAGGACAAGGGTTAAGCCTAATCCTGTTTGCAAGGCTGGGTCTACAGTGGGCTAATCAAACTCCTTTAGCCTCAGACCCATTGTATTTATAATGGGGTGGTGGTAATAATTATGATTCTTGGTTACTATAATTAAATGACTTGTGAGAACTCTAGAAATCACTTTTTATACAATGTGCTAATTTTTCAGTTTTTTTTAATCTTTTTCTTTTTAAAGACAGGGTCTCCTGTAACTGTAGGCGGGAGCTTGCTATGTAGGCCAAGTGATCCTCCTGCCCCTGGCTTCTGAGTGTTTGAATTAAAGGTGTATACAGGTGTATACCACCATGCTTGGCTATTTTTTACCTTTTTATTACACTCCTAACCCCTCAAATCAATGGTTCTCAACCCTCTTACTGCTTCAATCCTTTAACACCTCATGTTGTGGGGACCCTCTACCATAAAATTTCATTGCTACCCCATCACTGTAATTTTGCTACTGTTATGAATTGTAATGTAAATATCTGTGTTTTGTGGTGGTTTTAGGTGACACCCCCCAGGGGTCTTGACCCACAGGTTGAAAACCACTGCCTTGAGTCTCTCACTTTATTCAATAAATACCTAAGTATCTGCTATTCCTGGTACGATTCTAGAATCAGTGACCAAAAACCCCCACAAAATCGTGGCCTGAGGGAGTTCACAGCGTCTGGAGATTAACAAGTAACAAAACTGACTGATTATACAGAAGAGTATAGCTAGGCATGGTGGCACACGCCTTTAATCCCAGACTCAGGAAGCAGAGGCAGGAGGATCTCTGTCAGTTCGGGGACAGCCTGGGCTACAGAATGAGTTCTAGGACAGGGTCCAAAGCTACACAGAGAAACCCTGTCTCAAAAAGCCAAAAAAAAAGTGTTCACCATCAGCCAGGTGTGGTGGTTCATGCTGTTGAACCCAGCACTTGGGAGGCAGAGGCATTTGGATCTCTGTGAGTTCAAGGACAGCCTAGTCTACAGAGGGAGTTCCAGGACAGTCTCGAAAATAAAAAACAAACAAGTATAATACTTGTTGTTTTAAGCTATTAAATTTGGGGGTAATTTGTGACGGATAAGCACATATGCAGTAGATAACTAATACATGTTTAAGAAAGACACGTCTCATCTCCTCCATCATTCAATTTCACTATGGAGGACCCTTTGCCTGCCATAAAGTAGGCCATCAATAAGAAGCATGATGCTATCATATTCTGTTCTCTCTCTCCACCTCTCCAATGGTGATCAGCACACACATCTGACTGCCGTTAAACAGTGTAGCACCTGTGGGCTTTGAACCAAGCCTGTGTTGACCTGTATCACATGCACTGGATTTCCCTGTGCATGTCCACTAGTTCTTGGAATGAATGTCCGAGATGTGCAATACTGAATTTTTGAAAAGTCTTTATTCTGTCCCAGCTAGCTAAGAAACTAGTCTGGCTCTCTGGGATTTTCTGTTCCTGGTTTGAGCAGGCCTCACTGCAGCATGAGATGGACCAGTTAGCTGTACTCTGAGAAGACTGGGGTGGGGGTGGGGGTGCGAAGCTCATCTTTTCCCTGGAGTAGGAGGGCAGCTGAGAGCATTCAGAGATTTTGAGATGAAGCTGTTACCATGGGAATGTTTCCCTATCTTTTCCCTTAATGATGGGTAGAAATAATGAACAGTACAGCTCTCAGAATTCTAGAAATAGGGAGAATAAGAAAAGGAAAAGGAAAGCTGGAAGAACAAATTCCTAAAAAAGGATTGCTTGGTTCAATCAAAACTCTGCACTGGCTGTATTCTAGGAGGATGTGAGGCGTTCACAGGCCAGCAGTTTCCCCTAAGGTCAAGTTTTCCACGAGGCTACAGTTGTCCAGTCCTGAAAGGGTGAGGAGACTCTGAGGCACTTTTAGTAAAAGAGCAGAGTTGGTCTATCCTTTCAGGCTTTGCAGAGGGTTGAGGTGGGAACTGGGGACAGAAGACTGGAAACCTAACAAATTCGGATGCTTCTAAATCCTCTCCATCTAGCTTTGCACAGGAGCCAAGTTTATGGTCTCTCTATGGCCAGGACCCACCATCCCAGGCCAGGCTGGTGCACATTCTTGCCTTGCAAACTCAGAGCATCCTAAGTTGCATCTTCCAACAAAGGCTCTCAGCCAAGAGTCTGTCCCCTCCACCCACTGCTTGATGCACTGCAGAAGCCCTACCTAGAAACTGTCAGCTGAACTCTTTTTCTCTAGGACACACGACTTCAAATAATCGATCTTCAAAACTAACTGTCTCCTTTAGTTGATATTTTACCTGTCTGCCATAATCCCATACCCTCTTTCAAAGGACTTTGTTCTTAAGAGACAGGGTCTCATTATGTATCCCTGGTTAGTCTGGAATATGTAGATTAGGCTGGCTTTGAACTCAGAGATCCATCTGCCTCTGAAAGGGTCTCTTTATGACCCTTTTTAATATTTAAACATGTATTTCGAGGCAGGGTCTTATCATGTAGCTCTGGTTGGCTAGCCTGGAACTTGTATAAGCCAGCTATCTCTTAATTCTTTCTCACTGATTGCTAGCCAAGCAGAGCTTCTCATTGGGCCTGGACATAGTCACTCTCCCTTTCCAAATGTGAATCCTAAATGTGGCTGCAACCTGATGGCAATGCAAGGTGATGTTCTGTCTACACCCGGCTGGC